CAGCGCCTCCTAGCACTGCCAACATCGAAGCATCCTCGGAGTCTTCATGTACGTCGATGACTCCCAATAGTCTGCTGGATGCTTCGGTACCCTGGCAGCCCTTGCGGGCGCCCCGGGTCCTGACAGAGGTGGGAACATGACTCACCAATGCTCTGTCGGACTTCGCAGGGCGGCTGGCACCGATACTCTTGCTCGCCAGTCGATCCAGGGTTCGTGCTTCTCGAGCCAGGACATGCCCAGGATCAAATCGAAGAGATCCATGTCAAGAACATTAAACTTTTCTGGGCTGTCAAAGTCTTCAACCTTGACGGCCAGATCCACTTGGACATTAGGGACAGTGACGACCTTCCCGTCGGCCAGATGCACTGACACCGTCCCGTTGCCCTTGCTTTCTCCTAAAGCATCGGACAACTTGTTGCTATCACGAGCAGCCGTCTGGCTGCGTGCGAAATGCTTCGCCGCCCCCGAATCGATCAAGCTTCTAAAGGGGTGATCGTATCCCCGTACACTTCCGTGTGCTATGAACAACCTGCCAATGCTCTTCGCCGATTCGAGAGTGCGAAGACTCTCAGAGGCTAAGCCCTTGCGGTATGCACCACCTGCGCACCTTCACGAAGACTTAGTTCTTCCCCAATAAGGCGCCCCACCCCTACTGGTTTCCGGCGTTCCCCTGTCCCCGGGATCATGGCTTCTGCCAGCGACCCTTGAGAACGGGCTTGGGGAAAGTCCATTCTGCGGAGTCTCTTCGTGGTGGTGGTGGGGGGGGGGAGAACTAAGTCTTCATGAGAGGTATGCCGGTGGCGCATACCACGGGACCTTAGCCTCTGGGGCAGTGGCGATTGATTCAGGTTACAGTCAAGCACCCTCAAAGAGATGATTCAAGTGGCTCTTCGGAAAGTATACAGCCATCGCCAGGCGCGTACGCCGGTCTCAGTGTGACCGGGAAATTATGTGTCGAATCCTGACCGAGCCAACCCCATCGGACCAGTTCCCATGGAGATCGGGTCCGCCGAGCAGAGCGACATTCGCTGTTTCGGCACCGGGAAGCTGATCCACTTCTTTCTGCCCCCCCTCAAAAAAAAATGTTTTCTTTATGCTCGCAATGCGTTTGGAAGCCACACTGTAACCTCACGGGGGTCTACTTTGGCAATGTGGGCTTCAAATAAGACTAACCCTTTGACTTGATTTCATTATTGCGTATCATCGACCAAATAGTAGAACCGTTTTAGTTCTCCGAAATAAGGATTTTTACAAAAGTCAATTCACTTAAAAATGGACTTCGTAGTGTTTTTAACCTGAGTATTAATTCTTTGTACGAAGGTTCTCGCTCACCCCTCCCTTACAAAAACTAGGCATAAATATAGCCATGTTAAATCGATAAAATACCCCCCCCCCCCGATTATTAGTAGCTTACGTAAACTGAAAAGCATTCATGTTGTTTTGTGTTAGCTGCCTGTTCTCGCCACTTACTGCACGATATCACTCCATCGACCCAGCTTTCCCAAATAGCCATATCGATCGCGAACGTTGCCAGCACTGTCAAACAACACGCACGCCATCTCTGGATTATTAGGATTGTCACCGACACCCCGGCAGAAAACAATTCCTTCGTCGGGCAGCTCGATCATAACCCTCATGTCGTCATAGCCGAAGTCGTGATTCTCACGAATATTGAACCTTTTCGCCTTGCTTGCGTCACCCCCAGAAAGAAAGCGATCAGGACGATCTCCCACGCATCGGAAGTACAGAGAATCGTTGTACCTACGTTGAAAGTGAAGAAAGATTTTAAGAATATAGCTCCATTGTCTGCCTACCAAACGTATTGAATACCTACCATCCACGACGAAATCCCCTTAGAAAATCGTCGTCATAATAACCTGCATCGGGCACGCGCACACCAAAATAACTGATGGCGATTTTTGGTTCAGGTTTACCCTGCGAAGGATTAAGGCGTAGTATCATTAAGCGCTCTTCTTCTGATGGTGGAGGAGATAAATTCTGTTGCACGTAGCCCACAAAACGACTGGTCAGACCACAGTATGTAAGAGCTCATAGTACCGGTACAGTGCAGCAAGCCTACCGCGAAGTCCAACAGCACCGACGTCCCCGGTACTAATTGCTGGCTTGCGTTCTTACATGGGGCAAAGATGTCGAACTTTGCACGGAAGGTTGCTTCCTTAGCGAGATCAGCAATTTTGGATCCACTCCACGCGACAGACCGAGTGGTGACGCTCCGGCATTCATCGCATCCGACAGTGCCAGATGCCGCGAAGGCCAGCAGTTTGTCACCGTAGAATGCCAACTCGTCCAGAGCCTGAGAACGCACTTGCTGCACGTACACTGCCCTCGCTGCAGCGTAGTGAATGCCGTTTGCGCGCAGCGTGAGTCCAACGGTCGACGCAGTGCTTGAACACGCAACGAAGCGATTCGGTCGAACATCGACTCTCTTTAAATACGGAGCCCCTACACTTGATGAGATCGCAGATGCAACGACGTAACCTCGTGAGCTTTGGGTCACGATAACACCGCGAGAAAGTAGACATGTCTCGATGTCGGTAGCCAATAATGGGTTCATCGTCTTGGCACACTGGATCGCAGTCATTCCGTTTTGGTTTGGAAGAAGGAGTTCTTTCATAAAAGCCCCCAGTGGAAGGAAAGCCATCATCACTCCGTAGAACTCACGGTCCCCGATAGCTGCAGCGAAGTGGAACAGCTGAATATGCCATTCATGAGCCTGTTCCACCAACTGCAGCAGTTGGGTCGGGTCCGGCGTTTGCTTAACGCTGGATATCAACTCTTGAGCCTTTTCGATCGAAACGACATGGACGAAGTCTGGTTGGTCGTGCACACTACGAGGTTTCGCGAACGATGTGAGCTCCATGCTTAAAAATGGCAAAATGCCAAACTTCACTCGAGGATCTTACGCCGAAATTTCAACTGCGACAACGTGATGTTTGAAAGACAGCGACGTATCCATCATAAAATACATTTAATGTATCCAAGTTCGAGTGCAAAAGTTGCAGCTATTTCTGTAATTAAATTAGCTATGCTCTTTCACTGGACAAAATCAAGTCAAATATCGGTCCATTACCGGTTGCAAATCCTGCTCCATGTCTATATTTGTAAATTATCTGGTCTTGCTGATTGGACAGCGACGTAAACGTTTCCCCCCCGCACTGGCCAGCGTCAGAACCAACAAGCGCCGAGACGCAGCAAGTCCCCGACTCTCTTCGCGTGGTCCCTCTCCCCCCTTGTCCTTTAACTCCCCCTTATTCACGCCGACATGTCTGCCCCCAACGCTGCCGACGATCAGGTGGAGCTCTTCAAGGTGAAGAAGCTGATCAAGTCTCTTCAAGCCGCACGCGGCAACGGCACGAGTATGATCTCGCTGATTATCCCGCCCAAGCAGCAGATCCCGCTCGTAGCGAAGATGCTGTCGGATGAAATGGGTACAGCCTCCAACATTAAGTCTCGAGTAAACCGCCTGTCGGTGCTGGGCGCCATCACGTCGACGCAGCAGCGTCTGAAGCTGTACAACAAGTGTCCCCCCAACGGCCTCATCATCTACTGCGGTACCATCATCACGGACGAGGGCAAGGAGAAGCGCGTCAACATCGACTTTGAGCCTTTCCGCCCCATCAACACGTCGCTTTACATGTGCGACAACAAGTTCCACACGGAGGCTCTGGGCGAGCTGATGCAGGACCAGGACCGCTTCGGCTTCATCATCATGGACGGTAACGGCGCTCTCTACGGCGCGGTGTCTGGCAGCAACCGCGAGATCCTGCACAAGTTCTCGGTGGATCTGCCCAAGAAGCACGGACGTGGTGGTCAGTCCGCGCTGCGTTTCGCACGTCTGCGTTTGGAGAAACGCCACAACTACGTGCGTAAAGTGGCGGAGACGGCCACGCAGATGTTCATCACGAACGACCAGCCCAACATTTCGAACTTAGTGCTGGCGGGTTCGGCTGACTTCAAGAACGAACTTAACGGCTCGGACCTGTTCGACAAGCGTCTGGCTGCGGTTGTGGTCAAGGTCGTGGACGTTTCCTACGGTGGCGAGAACGGCTTCAATCAGGCGATTGAACTGGCTGCGGAGACACTCGCTAACGTTAAATTCGTGCAGGAAAAGAAGCTCATTGTGAGCTACATGGAGGAGATCGCCCAGGACTCTGGCAAGTACTGCTTCGGTGTGAGCGACACGATGAAGGCGCTGGACTTGGGCGCCGTGGAGACGCTCATCCTGTGGGAAGATCTGCCGCATCATCGCTACGTGCTGCGGAACGAGTCGACGGGCGCCGAGTCGTTCAAGATTCTGTCGCCGTCGGAGGAGTCCGTGGACTCGAACTTCATCGACTCGGAGACTGGTGCTAAGCTCGAGACGGTGGACCGTGTGCCGCTGGTGGAATGGTTCGCCAACAACTACAAGCAGTACGGTACGACGCTCGAGTTCGTGACGGCGCGTTCGCAGGAAGGCTCGCAATTCTGCCAGGGCTTCGGTGGCATTGGCGGCATTCTCCGATGGAAGGTGGACTTCATGGAGATGGACTATGACGAGTTCGACGACGACGACTCGGACTTTGACGAAGACGCGTTCATGTAGAAATAATTATTGCGTGACGCTTTTTGCGCTTTAGTTTTAGGGAAAAAGCGTCACGCACCGTGGCGCGGCGGAAGGAACATGCGCAAAAATTGACAAAGGAGACTGCACTTTCAGGGGATTCCAGCCGTCCCCACAGCAGGCTCGATAGATTTTTTTTAGCAGGGAAGGGAAGGAGGCTGGCTGCTAGGGAACGAGCTGTAAACTCTTAAGAGACGAGGAATAATACACGACAGATATTCCATGGCCGTTGTTGTTACATGTGTACATGTAGTGAGGAGCTTCGATAACACGAAGAGACGTGCCAGTTATGGACGAAGCGAGGGAGGTTCTTGTAGTAGAGAGTAGGGAAGGCGATGCGGAGAAGCGGGAACAGGAGGCTGCGGCGTGTTTACAGCGGATGTTTCGTTGTCGGAGGGCGAGGTTGAGGCTGCGTCAGATGCTGGCATCTGTGTTTGAGAAGTTCTACGACGCCGAGTCGGGACTGTGTTATTATTTGGACAAACGCACAGGCGAGACGACGTGGGAGAAACCTCGTGTACTTCGAGGCGAGGACGACATCGAGTTGACGGCAGTGTACGATGGGAAAGAGGACGACGCATCTGCAGCTGAGCCGACAGAAGAGCAGAACAGTTTGCTAGCGGTTGATCCGGACAAAGAACAAGGCCAAAGTGAGCAGAAATATTTAGGTTACTCGACGCAAGAGTTGGCTCTGGCTCGGGAGCAATTCGCACACTACGACACGGACTCGAGTGGGTCAATCAACGCTACGAAGCTCCACAAACTATTCACTAATCTCGGTGAACAGCTTACGTTGAACAACGTACGTGAACTCATCAAAGGGGTCGACACGGATGGCAATGGAAAGGTGGAGCTCGACGAGTTTCTCCACTTGCTTCGCAAGCAACAGGACAAGAATCAGTACTCTGCGTCATTGACAATGGCGTTGCTCTTCGGGCCCAAGGAATTGGCTAAACTTAAGCAGCAGTTTATGATCTTAGACTTGGACGGAAGTGGAGCCATCGATGAGCACGAACTGCAGCAACTAGTCAAGAAGCTGGGACGTCACGCTGAGGAGTTTGACTTGCCAGCCATGCTGCGTGAGGTTGACGGCGACGGAAGCGGCTCAATTGGCTTCAACGAGTTCCTACAGATCGTGGCAAATATGACAAAGGGCGATGGTAGTGGCGGCCCCAAGTCTGCCTTTGCTACTTTACTGGATATGGGCATCGCTCAGGGACTTCTCAACGGACTGGACGAGGTGGTGCAGGCTTCACGCCAGAAACTCTACGAATGGCTCAACTCGGACCTCGTGGCAGAGCAAAAGCGACTTCAAGCGAAGCGCGAGCGTCGACGACGTCAAGAAGAAGAGCGACAGCACCAACTAGCTAAAGATCAAGAGCTGTACGCCAAGCACCAGGCTCAGCTCGCTGCTATCGAGCGAGCTCGTCATGCCCAAATCGACGGCCTAGCGATCGAAGTGGAGTTCGAAGGTGACAGTCAAAACTTCCCACTCGCAGGACAATTCGCTCGAGTTCACTACGTCGCTAGCTTCGAAAATACGGGGGAAATCTTTGAGTCTACTCGCGTCCGATGTGGCAGTGCACTCGAGTTCTGTGTGGGTGCCGGGCATACAATCCAGGGCTTTGACTTGGCCTTGCAACGCATGAGTGTCGGAGAGACTGCTCGAGTTACCCTTGCTCCTGCGCTGGCCTATGGTGTGAAAGGCCGACCACCTCGAATTCCGCCTAATGCTGCCCTTGTGTTCAGTATCGAGCTCATCAGCATCAAGGAGAAGCTTCAATCGCCGCTCGAAGTGGCGCCAATCACACCTGTGCAACGAGTGCGAAACAGATAAAAAAAAAACAAAAACAAAAAACTCATCCAGCACACTTAGCCAGAGTGACTTAGGCAGTCGGAAGTTCAGAGTCTCAACTCAGTGTGGCGAGTTTGGACTGGCCATCTACACATCTTCGTGCACATGGTACATGTGCCGTACCGGGAGATGCGTCTGTGCTGGCGTCTTATTCGTGTCCATTTGCGTTTTGGTCGTCACAAGCTCAAGCCGCAAGGACCATGTCAAACGACAACGTTAGTGTTTTCTCCTTCTTGATTCCTCGTTGGTTACGACGCAAGAAAAGTCCACCGTCTGCAGAGACCATAGGAAACATATTCGAGCGACGGATGAAGAAGCGACTAAAGAAACAACGCAAGAAACCACAAAGAGAGAAACACGCTCGAGCTCGAGCTGCTAGCGATGGATTCAAGACGTTCGACCTACTAGCCGCGAGAGATGGACGTGTCCACAAACCCAACCGAGAGCAAGGGCCACAGATGCTGAGCTGGGATTCAATTGCAGACACGTATCTGAGTCTTCCTTCGCCCGTCGGAGCTGACGCGGGGGCCATCCTCGGCACAACTCACACCAAGAATCCAAGCGATGAAGACCCAGACTCAGGTAGGTACACTGCACTACTGACTCGACACGAATTCTCTCACGAAGCTGCCTTTCGACTACATGAGCTCGCACATCTCGACATGGACAACTCGACTCCATCGTTCGTCTACCGAGTTCCTCGACACTCTGCTAGAAAGTGGAGTATGACTACCACACAAGGAAGCGTCCACTAAAATACACGTCCTAGATCATCTCTCCGTCTTCGTCGCTGTCTTCCAGATCAATCACGAGTGCGTCCGCCTCCTTTGTCAACTGGTTTAAGCCTGTGAGTTCCTCCAAGTACGCACTCGAGTTGCACGCCATCTCCAACAGACCCAAAGCATCAGCAGAGTAAGCAGCTAAAACCTTCCGACTGCACGCGATGCACTTGTCGAATGCCTCGCCTGTAATCACCATATTCTGGAACGCATTCAGGAACCCACGCAGCTGGTGCGGGATGTAGCCCATGGGGACAGAGCCGTCACTTGGTTTCTCCGCACCGACGTGTTTACCTTGAGGAGAGTGCAAGACAGCGACGAGAAGCTCCACAGCCGTCGCTGCTGCAATGGGAGCCAGACCTGGGCGAGTGACTGTACACATTTGGTCCAGTGTTCGGTCCTTCAGTGAGTCGCGAGGACTCACAATGTCATTACAGAAATAACAGCCCAGCGATGGCTTACTTGTGCTGTCCTCAGCGTGAACGCCATGACGCATCACCAGGTAGCTGTCGAAGCCTAGAGCAGCATTCAAAAGCAGCTTCTTCTTGGACGCAGCAATGACAGTCGGGAGCCAACGACTCTCGCGGGAATCTGTGCCGAGGAAGATGACGTCGTGCGACTCGATCAGCTGCGCCAGTGTCTCCAAACCCTTGGTAGCTTCCTCCATCAACTGGGGGCTGCTCAGTGCATGCCCAGCCATCGGAATTGTCAAGTTCACTGCCTGGGAGTTCACTAGTGGGAAAATGCGCTTCAAAGCGTTGGCGGCGCACTCGCCTTTGGGTTTTCCGACGTCTTGAAACTCAAAAAGCGGCTGACGAACAGGATTCGAGTGACTCACCGTGGAGTTGTCGACAAATGTGATGTTCCGGAAGCCCCACGAGAGAAGACTGCGCGCAGTATAACAGCCGAGCGTCCCAGCGCCCAGCAGCAAGCACTTGGTCTGAGCTAGCAGCTCCAAGTCCAGAGTCGGCAGCTGGCGCCATCTCATCAGCTTGAGATTCAAATCCACCGACGTCTCTGCGAGTCGAATAGGGTCCAAAATGCCTCCAAGTTCCATCACTCGTGGCCCCATTTTGCCTCGATCGTTCGCTTCCCAGCCCATAACACGCACGTCCTGTCGAGATCGACCGTCTGCCATGAACGGCTGGTCGCTTTTGACCTCAAAGATGACGGAACTCTTCCACTCAAAGTCTTCAGGCACCTCAGTGAACTGATGCACATGCTCTCGGAACGAAATGATCCTCACTGGCTGGGAGCAATCCACTTTCTCACTCGGTAGCGCTGTCAGCAGCGCCAGAAAGTTACGCAGAGGCCACCCTGGGTTCGTCTGCAAGGGACAAGGGTCAACGAAGCCGAAGAGCGTCTCCACCACGTCAGCTGCGGTGTGATCGGCTGCTTTCCACGTCTTGACATCCAACACTCGCACGATCTGGTCGCTGGTTGTGTCTTGCGATAGACGCTCGACCACGAAAAATGCCGCAAAGTTGCTCTCCACTGCGCCAGTCTCGCTGTTCACTTGACGCAACTTAAGCAGACCTCGCAGTGCCTGAACCTGCTCTTTGGACGACAATATGGAGGATACCGACGCAGGAGGAACTCGGTACTGGAATGGGGCTGGAGGAGACAACGCCGGGAAGCCGAACCAGTAGAGGAACGAGTGTTTCTTCAGGTCGGCAAAAGTGATAAGCACAAAGCTGTTCAGGTGGTCGATTGAGGTGTCCTCGTTCCCAAGTATCAGATCTAAGATCCTGTCTCCGGCATCTCGGAGCAGCTTGGATTTGTCCAGCTTCTTGAAAGCCTGCAACACATAAAGTATTAATTGTAAGAGACTTATTATGTTTCTTTATAAGAGCACCAACCTCTAGGGTATTTGTGTTGTATAGTTGACCGGGGGCTTGCCACTCGTACCGAGCACGATCCATGTCCCTGTCAGCACATTTATGACATGAGAATCCAGATCATCGCCAAAAACCATCGACGTTACCTGTTCTCCGCCCCCCCTTGCGCGCTGGGAAACGCACTCTCGTCGATAGTGAAGCGCGCGGGGACATTCACCGATCTCCCAGGCGTGAAGTAGCCAATAATGCCCTACAAAAGAACAAATAAAATTAAAGATACCTGGAGAATTCTTGCATCCGTTGTCGCGCGCTTACTTGTGCCTGGTCATCCAGCTGGAACTTGTCGAGCTTGAGCAACGTGAGCGTCTGCCAGAAGGACACGTCTGGCGCACTGTTCCACGGCTGAAACTTGAGCACTTGCCAATCCGCGTCCGCCATATCTTTTACAAGGGGTTGATTGAATGTTCGCAATGGATCCTATAAATGGATTCGAATTTCGTGCAAGAATACTGATTTTGTCAAAATCAAGCGTTTTCTTCAACTTTGCAAAATCCTTTTTGACATTAGAAATGCTCATTGTTTTGTAATGTTTAAAACATTTAAAGTGTTAGCCACACAAAAAAGACTTTCTAAAAAAACGCTTTGATTATTACCTTCAGCGTCTTTCTGTTTTTGCTTAAAACACGAAATAAATTTGTTTTAGGTACAGTATCCTTACTGATCTTTGGAAAACGATTCTATTTGTTAGCTGCTTTCATGCTATTTTTTTCCGTCGAGTTTGCTTAATTAAAAATGCTTTTTATGGGATTTTTGTTTAGAAATATGCCGAAGGAAGATAGGGAAACTTCTAATTTCTTACTGTTTGAGCCGCGATGGAAACTAACTGGACCACCAAAAAAGATTTAGCTTCTATATTATCTTAAAATGGCAGCATAAGCAGCTTGTGCAAAAAAAAAACATAAACGGCCACTGCACAGCCATTGTACCTATTAGTAACTAAACACGATAAATAGGACCCAGCAGCAATTCTGAAGGCGATGTGCGCTAGAATATTGTGATCCTGGTGCCGACAACCTCAGTGAGTCCAGCCAACGACCGTGAGTCCAGCGTACGACGGCCATGGACGCAAATATGGCGCTCTACGAAGCCAGATACCTTAGCAGAGTACTGTATCTTGCGTAGAAGCTATCGATAATAGCAATGTGGATATCCAATCGACCATTTATTCTACAATGATTATGATAAACATCGCTGCGGACTCTTTAAGCGGTCGAAGCTGGTACCGTATCGCTCAAACCACTGCAAAACGCATCTCAAACATTTTGAAAATAAAACACTGGGTCACCACCCTGGTCACGTGGTATAAATTCAAATGGTGTAACTCGCCCAATTTGTGTGAGGCATTCCAGCAGACGTACACGTGATGAACATACACAACCCATATCCTCTGTGGAGCACAGATAAACTCAACGAACGGAGAGTGTATGGTTTATAGTCTTAGCGCTGAAGACAGGGCTGTAGCTGTGAGGTTATTGACATTGCTCTGCACGTTGGTGGGCAGCAATACGATGACCGGTCCTTCCTCCATACGGTACTATTATTTGTAATTTGGTGAGATGTCAGAGACGAAATAGCCCCATGGATTCGACGATGAGACCATTGATTACATTGTCGACTCTAAAGCCGGTAAAATCCAAATACACTCCCGGACACAGAAATGGCGATTTTGCGTTTCCCAAGCCCAATCCCACCCTTGAATATGCCGAGTGTCACATCTGGAAGATGGTCCAAATCGTATCCGCTGCGACCTGCTCAGGCATGACACAAAAATTAACATCGACGTGTGCAGTATCCCCAATTGCACCTCTATATTATTCTTATAGATAGTACCCAGAACATGATTATCGATGGGTATAATGCTTGCATTCGGTTATTCGAATCCAAATGGACAATACTTTCCGATGGTGTATTTCAGCACAGCGTAAAAGCGCTTTATCATTGTCGGGTGGTATATCTATCGAGGGGTACCGATTTCAGACGGTCAGTACCCATGAACCGGTAGCCCAAACCGGTCCAACACGATCCCGCGATGATTATGGTAGGTTGATTACGCTATTGATGATTAGACGAGTAGGATGACTGAATGCAGAGTGTTGGTGATTGGATGAAAAACATCATTGGATGACTTATGTAGTGGGGACAGTGTAAGCTCCGATAAATCAAACACTTCAGAATCTTCCTTATTTCTCTCAAGCGTATTCGCTTCGGTCTTCTCCCCGAGTGGTGACTTATTCCTTCGCTCCGTCCAAGCTTAACGTTGCCCAAGCTTCGTGACCCCTATCAGGTTATGAGCCCAAGTACCATGCCCTCTGCGCAAGACGTTTCAATCAAAGTCTCTATCGACAAGTTCAACGGCGATAACTACGCGACGTGGGGCCGCTACATGTGTAGTGTGTTCCTAACCAAGTCGGTATGGCATGTCGTAAATCAAGAGAAGACGCCAAGCTTCTCGGACCCTCGTGCGAAGGACGAGTATGTCAAGTTGAGCAGCATCGCATTTGATTTGATGCTTCTCCACATGGACGCGGACTACCATCACGTGGTCGACAACTGCGAGGAAGCGTGGACCGCGTGGGCGCGTTGTACGGTGGGTCGAAGAGGGCTGGTCGTATCTATCTGAAGCGACAGCTCTTCAGCATGGAGAGGTCTGAAGTCATGAATGTGTTGCATCATTGCAATGAAGTTCTCATCATCAGCGCCAAGCTGAGTAGCATCGGCACCAAGATGGAGGACGAGGACGTGGCGATCTGCTTGTGGCACAGTCTCCCCAAGAGTTACGAGAACATCGTGCTATACTTGGAGATGCGTACTGCTGAGCTGAAGACGCAAGACGCTGTGAAGGTGCTCACGAATGAACATATCAAGTGACAGGGCGAGAAAACTTCTGCGGTGAAGGCGTTCAGTACCGAGAGGGAGTCTCACCAGTGTACTTATTGTGAATTTTCAGGCACGCGATTAAGAAGTGCTGGACCAAGCAGAAGGATAAGAATTGAGGAGGTCAACGCGGCGGCAACAGTCGTGAACGCCGGGCCAACAATGTCCAGTGCTGAAACGACAGCTACGACTACGGCTACGATCGCGTGGCCTTTGCTTTTTCATTGGTGGAGTTTCGACGGGCAAGAGTATATTCGGACTGTGGGCAGCCGACAACGGTGCGACGCACCATATCTGCAATGACAAGATTAAGTTCGTCAAGCTGGACGAACGAGATGAAGGCGAGATGAAAGTTGCTGATGGCACTAGCGTTGCTATCAAGGGTGTGGGAACTATCATCGAGCGCGCGGTTCTGCCCAACGGCGATGAGCGCGAAATCGAGATCAACAACGCGCTTACGCGCCGAAGATGAAAAATAACTTGCTATAAATGCTGCAGATTATCAAGAGGGGCAAGTTTCAAGTGGCGTTCGATGGTGAAATCATGCACGTTGCGCGCAAGGATTCGAAGGAAGTGGTAGACACAGCAGACCCTGCGCACATCACTTTCCTCGGTAAACGCAGTGTATTTGGGCAGCGCTCTAAGACAGACTAAATCGAGCGCACGAGATGAAATTCCAAGCAAATCACATCGATCTCCAGCAAGTCGATCCTTTTGCGTGTTTGAAAACGCAATTCGAGCGCATATAAGTAATTCCACCTTTTCCCATCTCATTTTAATGCATGGTTTTACGCCCCGATCATGCTCAATCTAAGCCATAAAACGGAGCGAACTTCCATCTGCAAAGCAAAATAATACATGTAACGATTACATAGTTTAATTGCTCAATATCATTATAAAAAGCAATATCTAGTAAAACTCAATCCTTCTTGTATTTTTTTTCTTGCTGTTTGTAAGACCCCCCGCTTAGATTTCGTTATGCAGTTATATAAATATTTCATCTACCCGTCCATATAATTCCGAAAATAATTGTAGTATATACTTTTTGCCTTGGCATAAAAAAACTTGTTTAGCATTTAATTTATCTCGGCTAAATAATCCGTGCTTCACCGATAGACTGAAACCTTCTACGCCTACATGACTTATAGATTAAAAGGCTACTTATTACTGTCGTATTCACGCCTACTCCGCTCGGTGTTTTGCGAGCGCGATTCTACAGCACGCTTAGTTCTTTCCGCGAACTAGAAGAGCATCTGCGAAATAATGTACCATTTTTTTAGAAGCATTCCATGCTGCTGACCCAGAGACAGGGCTCCCGAATAATAAATAATGACATACATTAATGTACATTAATTAGGCCATTATGTATGGAGCTACTGTGATTTCGACATGCATAATGTATGGCAAAACGTTTTACAAAAGCAATATTAATGCGTAAAAATAAGGGTTGCAATTACCAAATCGGCACACGAATAGCTACAAGTCTCCTTCTTCCCTCGACCAGCCGTTTTGCCTTCAATCCGAAGTCCCAGTTTCGAATTTGCCAGCCAAAGCAGACGTCGCCCTTACAGCCCCCCCCCGGACCTCACTTTTCGCTCAAGCAAATTGCTTTTTTCTACTTTTCGCCGTGTCTGGACAGCAATGGGAAGGCAACTGACTACTTCAAGTGCAAAGTGTGTGATACACTCGACAAATGACCAAGTGGAAGATGCACAACATTCCTGAATCAGCACATACGACTAAAGAGCCCCAACTTTGAGGTAAAAATACTGGCAGCTGGGCCAGGAAGGACGGAGTCACTCTTGCCGTGGATCAGCAAGAAGCGCAAAACCGATTTGGATGGCTTGAGTGGACCATTTTCGGCAACCTGCCATTCGCTTTCTGCGAGCAAAAGAGGACAAGTCGGTAAGTTAATCAATGCAACTGAAATATATTGCAAGTTGGTGCCAAATTTTGGTACGCTGCTGTATTTTTTGTATGTAGATACACAAATCTATCAGACATTTGCTCTGAAACGCTAACGAGTGACATGCTCAAAGTGACCATTGCCGTTGAAGGGAACATAGCGGCGGAGATGCCAAAGTTCTTTGGCATCATATTCGACGGATGGACGCACGATTCTGAGCATTTTTTAGCCGTCTTTGCGTGCTACGATGTTGACGGAGTACCCTTTTAGCCGCTACTTGCCATGACATCCGTCCTGGAGCCGCTAGAGGACGGCGATAAGCCGTGATTTACAGCACAATGCTGAAGCACACCGGGAAGCCGTGGTCCTCATACAAGGCGTCTTTTGTAAGAGCACTAAGCAGGTGTTTTTTCTGGTTAGTTACAATTTCCCTCTGAATAAACGCCTTACCTATTTACTGGACGTGCCGCTGATCGGATGTGCAAATCACCGGCTGAACCTTGTGGTGTCACTTGTGACAGCAAGATCGGAAAGTGTGCTAGCCAACATCCAAAACTGATGGTCATGCTTCGTACTCTGAATCAATCGGCCAAGCTACGGTAAACCGTTTTCAAAACATTTTTTATTTATTATTAAAAAAATGGTTTTGTCATTGATTCAAGACAAACCTTTCGCCCAGTACTCCGCCAAGACACCAGATGGGAGTCTACCTTTAAAACGTTGCACCGCTATTTCGAGCTACTCGAATTCGTCGACCGTGAAGATGAGAGCCTGGCTGAATTTGTCCCCTCAGCTGCCGAAAACAAATAGCTGAAGGTGCTGCTGGCAACGCTGGAGCGTTGCCAGTCGGTGGCTATGAGGCTGCAGTCTGACGATGTGATGATATGGGAGGTTCGCGTCTTGTTCGACGCATTACTCAAAGAAATGCCTGCCTTGAAGCGATACATGGGTACGCTTTGCTTTAAATTGTCCACCAAGTATTTCTACTAACTAGGATAATTGCGTAGGTGGAAGCGGATCTATCGTGAGTAGCCAAGATTTCGAGTCGACTTGTGTCAGAATCCAGCGTTACAAGCAGCTTTTCATGAGCCGTCAAGAGATGAAGGCTGTCCAACCTTTCCTCCAAGAGCCTGTGAGCGAAGTTATCCCGCAAGGTTCGCAGAAAGAGAGTTTTGCTGAGTCCGTGCTGAAGAAGGCCCGCCTGGCGTCCGTGGAGTGCTCGTACAGACTTATCCATACCATACCTTCGACATCCAATCTTGCAGAACAAGTGCTCAGCGTGGCTCGGGCGACCTATGGTATTGATAGGCACTCCTTGCTACCCATTTCATTGGCAATGATTTTGTTTCTTAGGGTCAACGAGAGCTACTGGGATGCTGAAACAGTTCACAAGTGCATCGATTAGAACCTACAATGCGCCCATTAATTGCATTAATGGCCATAATATACGGATACCTTCTTGTGTTTGCCTAATGCATAATGTTTGGACGTTTAAAAAAAATGACATGCGATTAGTGCCATTACCAGGAGCCCTGTCCAGAGTATTTGCAATGTTCTGAAGTGTTGTAATTTGAATACTTTGTCGCGTGTTGTCAGTGCTGCGCTCGTATCTTGGTAAATCTATCATAGTAATTCACAAATTGCATTTAAAAGCGTGGAAGGTGTCCAAGTCGAAAATCGCCGACACTCTCCTCAGCTGCGCTTTCGGCTTCATCTTTCAGAATTCATGTATCTATAGCGGTGACACTTGATGTAGACAATGCAGGACTTGCATTGGATGATTACAGATGATTGTTAGCATCTTCTTGCGAGCATGTGTGTTTGCTGAAAATTTCGCTGCAGTGTAGTGCTTGTGAAGATCGACGCTAAAGTGCAGCGTCGATCTAGCATTACAGGCTAGCTGTAATTTACAGCTACGACGAATCCTGCTATCACATGCCGACTGCTGGCACTATACTTGTTGGTCCTTGTATTAGCGACACTGTGGTGTTTCCGACCGCAGATCGTCGTCGTAGACGCCATACATGCCCGCAGCAACTTCCTCCTTCTCAGCATCCTTTCTCAATTAAACCGTCGCTGCCCAAAAGAAATAGGCGCCACACCTATTTCATTGAAAAGAGGTATTCTCGGCATCTCGATTTTCCTAGGGCTACTTCAGAGAAAAAAACGTAAGAAACAACAAATCGATTTTCTATTTGGACAAGGCTCTTAGCTCGATTTATTGGCCGATCGGTATGCCTTTTATGGACCTCGATTTACAAAACGACCTCGTTTTATTAATTATTGATGATAAGTGAAAAAGAGTAAAGCATTAAAAAGCACACTATTGTTTCTGATTGTCTGAAATAAAGCGTCAAATTGTATTTAACATGCTCTGACGCTTAGCGTAAGCTGTATATAGGAGTGACTACTCCGCAGTATGTACTTACTCTTCCATCATTAAGTTCGTAATATGAACGAATGAGGTGCTACAGACTCAGTAGTATACTATTATTCGAAGTCTGCAATTTGTTGGCTTCGTCTGAAGCCAGCGGACAATGCTAGACGGGATTTTAGCAGCAGTTACCTCTTGTTGGACTTCTAGCTGTAGAGATTTACCACCTTAAGGTGTTTTATACGCAGCACCGCCCCTGTCAATTAACAGCGCTAAGCGTATTGTGCATTTCAATGCTTTTGTCCTTTTCACTTAGCCTGATGCTCAATTTATAATAAATAGAGGTCGTTTTATTACATCGAGGTCTATAAAAAGAGCAAATTGATCAAGCTCGACTGGCTGATAAATGGAGCTACAACAGTCAAATCGACCGCTCGGCATCGATCAACCATCAAATCCACATCAATATCCAGTAAATCGACCCTTTTTGCCGTTTTGAAATGGTAACTCGATCACAGATAAAACAAATCGATGCCTGCCTCTTCCCATCTCATTTTTACGCGTGGTTTTATCCTCCGACCGTGCTCGATCTAGGCTATAAAACGGATGGACATTCCATCTGCAAAGCACATACTTGTGCCAAAATAATTCGTTAGGAAATAATTGACCTTAGTAATTTTTAAAAAAGTACAGACTTCATTAAAAAAAGTAACTAAATCTATAACTACATGTACTTCGAAGTACAAGGCTCCAACTTGGATGCATCCTAAGCGCCATCTTTTTCCTCTCCATCGCCATCGTCTTCTTCGTCGTAGTCGCCATAAAAGTCGTCGTACGGTTCACAGTAGTATTTGGTTATGCGGAGATACACTCGACGAAGCAATGGGGGCCCCGCAAATGAAAAGGTCTGGGATATCACCCGTTGGTCCAGACCCCCGGCCACAGATTCGATTCCTGGTGTCTGACGCGCTCTCTTGCTCGTAGCAGCTTCAGCTGGCATCATTCTAGCCGAGATGGCACTTAGAAACGCCAGCTTGACACCTCGATCAAGTTTCGCTGGACGATCGATAGGCTTGAGATGATGTTTCTTCAACAGATTCCCGTGCTTGCGATGACCTGTTAGCATCAGGACATCAAGGTACGCGAGGTGCCGGTTCACTGTCAGCATACGAGCCATCGCCTTCATATCCTCTGGCAACCGATTGAAGTCATAGCCACCCGCAACGCGTTTCCAGTGCTTGCATCGATCATTTAGACGCAATCGTAGTCGCCGAACAACCTTGGTGAGAGGGTTGGAAGCGTTACTAAAGTCTGCGGCCAGAGCTCAAACATCGTACCAGTGGCATTTGATCTCGGGAATTGGTAAGTTCTTGTAGCGGTAGTCGCTCAAGTTCAGTTGGACGTCTACAATCCCACCGCATAGCGACAGCGTATGAGGGTTTGTGCAGTTCCGAACAATCAAGTTCTCGTCAATTTCCTGCCGAGGCCCATGGAGTGTTAAATCCTTCAGTGTCGAGCCAATCGCAGCTAGAAACTGCGGTAATCCGTCAGTGCGCGGATAGGTGTGCTCCTCTGTGTTGAAGCCAATCGCAAGCGTTTTGAGCGCTCCTGGACGGGTTTCGATAGCACTCGACAGGTCGAATATGAGGTCGTCACGCTGCACTTAGCATCGGTCGATTCCAGGGATATGACGTTTACCCCCTTGGTATCAGGCACCACCACGCTAGTGGTATAGCGGCAATATGCCCCACCACGGTCGAGTACCATCAAGGTACATTGTGTCTATGACAGACACTGGTATGGGTGCAAAGGATATGCGACATACCACGACCCGATGCTGCTCTGGGCGTATACGCTGTGAGTCAATGCACGTACCGTGCATCGGCACTGGCTGCTGTCAAGCAGCCTGCCGGGAGCTCTGCAAAGTGAACTCGTCGTGCATGACACATATGAAGTCATGGAGCACTTATGGTAGATGTGGTACGTGTCGTACGCCAGCGTACCTGGTGTACGGGCCCGTGGACCTGTACACTGTGCTTGCACATGCGTCGTGCATGGTTTGAGCACTGGTCATGGATCAGCTCAGGCAACAGCACAGCTGAAGCTGTTGCCGCCAAACATGGCAGCCTTGTGGTGAGCGTGTCGCATCAAAGGTTAGTACCCGACGGTACATGGTGTCGATGAAGGACACCTACGCGCCGTTGTTATGACGACCAAGACGCGAAGAGAAGCGTGGCAGCAAATCTCCCCCCCCCCCGCAATTATGGATCCTTGCTGGGGCCAAATGCATGGCCTGAGGTGAGCTGAGAGCCCCCTCCTGTGCTGGGGAAGGTGTTGCCCTTGTCGTTGTCGTCCCTCGCGGGAGACACCATGCTCCGGACGCGTTCGCCAGGTCTTTCGTGTCCTTTGGTGCAAGCTGTGGGTGAATGCCTCACGTTCGGATGTTATTGCATCCTGTGCCAAAGCAAGCACACAGGCTAGCGCAGGAGCTAAGGCAGCTCTGAGTGGAGGATTTGCGGTCAACACAGCTATGAGGATAGGGATGCAAAGCCCAGCGTGCTTTGAGAGCACAAGTCACTGTGAGTGTGACTGAGAGCCTCGACAGTCTTGTGACTGCTCAGTGTGAAATTCGCATTTGTGTTTTTCATTTTCTCCCTTCTTATTAGATAATCAGTTGTGATTAAAGAATCAGGTGATTCTCAGCTAAGTGGGAGAGGATGTAGCGGGGTACAATTCAGTGTACCCTCCGGTTACATAAAGAGTGACCCGTCATTCTTGTGGACACCTGGTACACGGTACCAGGTGCTCTAGAAGCCAGTCAGGGTATAACTACATAGCTCCACTACATGTGACCTATAATCTGTGTTAGAGCTTCAGTCTTATTAATACATCTACTCTTCCAAGTAGCAAAGATTTGCACACCTTGGACAAACTAAACCACGAAACGTGCGAGAAATTGGTTTGTTCGTAATATAAATAAATTCCAAACCAAAATTACTGGCTGCACTGGTTTGAGGTAACATATCTCCGATTTTCAAACCATAGAGGCTGTTTGGAGTTACGCACGGCTACAGATTTGAAAATTTTATGCTACAAGTGAATGCGTCAGAAGATCGCACCCTCCCTGAAAAAGCCGCACTCTTTCAAGATACCTAGCTATTTTCCTCAAAGCCGTGACGGGTAAGAGTTATGTGGTATCGATCATTCCAGAAATTTCCTTGTCACTCCCAGCAATTCCACCAGCAGCAGGTCTGACAACCCACTAAAACGCTGCTGAGGCGTGTGGAGGTGAGCGTGCAGCTGGACCAATGTCAACAATAATATGAGCTCCGGTGCTACTATTTCAGTGCCTACATATGTGACTCAAGCTATTCGCGACTACGTCCCTCGACGGCTTTACTGTGGTTCCAAAGCGCAGGGGAGTAGGGGGGGCTTCATTATTCTTGACTGGGGTGTTCGTGTTTCAGCTCAACTGGATGGTAAGGAGTACGCTGGCTGGATCTGCCTAGGGAGTCATGAATGTCGCCTTCAGAACAGAATTATCCAGCTGTATGGCAGCGCTTCAAAGGCTACAAAGCATTTGAGTGAAGAACATTTGCTCACTGCTACGAAAGTGACAGTCGAGAACGAAAGAAAAAGAGGCCGTGCGGAGCAACTTCGAAGTGTTATTGTGACCGGAGATAACAGTAGACGCATTAATTTACCCCTCGAGACTATGCGTGTCGTAAACAACAACCTCCCGTTTTGAATCGAAGAGTACGAGGAATCAGAGCTTCTTGCGGATCTCACGCTCGGGGACGCGTTTCGTGTCACTATCAGCAACCATACTGTTACGAAGCCGATTGCCGAGCTGTATTCCAGCGCCAGAACATCCGCGTGTGATTACATCGACCGCAGCAGGGTCGTTGGTGTATCGAAGTTCACAGTGGTTTGCGATGTATTGTCATTAAAACCCCAGAAATCTACCATATATCTTGGTCTTCGACTGTACTTTGTTGACAGCAAGTGAAAATTTCAGTCAATTCTACTGGAAACCCGCCATTACGAACCTATGTATGGTGAGAGGAGTGAGAGAATCGTGAACCTTTCAAGCGGTGGATTCTCGAGCTTCTGAAGGATCTTCAACTGGCGGTTAAAGATCTGTATGGTTCCACCAGCGATGGCGGTCCAGACGTCAAGTGGATGATAAAATGGGAGTGGTGCATGCCTCATGTCACGAATACCGCAGCCAAATGGCATTTGGTATTGTCCCGCAACGCCAAAAACCAAAAACAACTTGAGGGAACGGATTTGCTTTCCCGTATTGCACGTACCACATTTGCCATTCGCTCTAATGCGAATATGGGAAGTCTTTTCGCATAGCTTATCGATATGGCAAACAACGGTGCTTCGCGACAGCTTGTAGAACACAAAGACCACCGTTTTTTGGGATTGGAAAGGTGATCAAGCGTTTGCTGTGTAAATGGGTCCAACTCGAAGACTGGGATCAGGAGCGCACCGACAAAGCTATTCGTGATCGAAAAGCAGTACCGAAGCGGTTGCCTATTGTTGATGACAAAGAAGCCCTCCTACAGTTGTATGTATTACCCAAGTCTATTGCTAGTCTCAGTACCAAGAGCCAAAAGGAAGACACAAATTAAGTTGAAGTGCTTCTGTCAGTGTTTCGACTCAAAACAACAATTTTTGGACGAGACGAAGCCTGTCAAAGACAGAATTCAAGCGCCTTTCGACCCGCCGTTGTAATTCCAAGTGTACCACCTCACTCGTCTAACGAAACCAACCCGTGTATTGCTAGCAATGGCGTTCCACAAGAACGTTTTCGTTTGATACACAGACCAATCGCGTTTTTGACAGACGTCCTACAACCAGAGATGCAAGTGCTACTACATCCTTCGTCCAAAATTCAAGACAGAATCTGTCCAAGATCGTCAAACTTTGCAACGAGCAGCTTATTATTGATCCCGAACAACCTCATCTTCGACTTGATGAACAAAGTGTAGCACGTAATGTGGCCTCTGTGAAAGAAGCTGTAATGAGACGTTTACGGTCGCTGATGATTAAGATTTCGACAAGTACTTCCGCTACCTACCAAATTATGACCCAATCTCAGTCACAGCTAGATGCTTCGATGGTAGCAATGCTGCAATTACCAAGTCTGCAGCTGCAGACCGTGTTTTCGGAAGACCTTATGGAATTCACAGAAGAGGAGGTCGTGCACGTCGTGTTGCACGACGTGCACGAAGTTCGGGTTAATGAAGAGCTTGAAAGGTGACTAACAGACCCAGTCAGACTTCGATTTTTTTCGCTGTTGAACTTGAGTCCATTCTCGCATACTGGAAGCGACAGCATGACGAGAGCAACTACCGCATTTAACCAATTGCAGCACGTGCACTTTTTGCGATCCCAGCATAGGCAGCTCAGATTGAAAGAGACTTTGGAATCACTGGGATGCTAGCTACAACTCATCGAACGAGTATCACCAAACACAGTATTGACATGTGTTTTTTCCTCAACAGGAACCGCAGAATTGTCGATGTGGCTAGCTGTAAGAAACGTTCAGACACAGAGGTGAAAGAATCCGTTCCAGTAAATGTACTAGTTGCCCTCAAAACGCAACAGATCGACACGCCATTCTCTGCTGAGTGTGAACGCGAGATAGCATCATGCATATTTGATAGTGACTGAACGGTCAGCTTTTTTTACAATACATTGATTTGATGTTCACTTTCTTTTCTGATCTAGCTGAAATCTCGACCCCGTCATCAAAATCGTTGAAGTAAAACAAGAGACAACGAGACAATGGCAGATATGAAACTATTGATTTATTCGGATTGGTTCTCCTGGAACTCAATATCACTTGATGCTTGGATGCATTAACTTCTCGCCGATGTGACGCAACTCGCGCACTCGTTGCCGAACGCGCTGTTCGATAAGTTTAGTGGCGGCTTCTAGATCATGAATCAACCCTCTACAATTAATGCTCTCCCCTCTGTGTATTTAATTTCTTGACACGTGTTCAAGCTCGTGTTTGGCGACGCGCAGGTGTTAACTTGATATATGGTGGCTTTGTGAAAACTTCATTTGGATTATTGTGATTGGGTTGACATTCGCGAGAAGCTGTGCGATGCTGCTGTTAAGCTGTTCAAAGGTCGCCAACCCCGTTGATCTCTCCTCTTGATTTGTCAAGATATTTGCTTGGTTGAGAAAGTTTGGACTCGTTGATCATGAATTCCCCGATGCAACGTGGTTTCGATATCTCCATCATATGCGCAGAAATCTCTGAGGTCATAGTTGTGGAGGCAATTGGAGGATCAGCACGATCGAGGACACGTGAAACGTTCGATGAGTGCACAGTGTGCTGCAGTGCAATGGGGTCTTGTTGAAGTTTTGTGGGAAGCTTCTCCTGTAAAATTCTCGTGCTTAGTCTACTCATAATTTCTTCGTCCACTTCCTTGAGGTCTTGAATGTCTTGTTCAAGTCGATAAATTTGGACCGTTGTAGCTGCTTGTGGTGCGTGAATACGGGATTGAAAATGGGTTTTTAGTGAGGAAGTATTCGATGTGGTAGCAGCTGAGAGTTGATTGTGGCTTGCTTCTTGAGCGCGTTTTAAGTCTGTCGAGTACTTCTAAAGTTTTCATCCATCTTAAGCTGTGTCTGCACCTGGAAAGACATTATTGCGCTGTCCTTTTCTTCAGCTTCATATTATCAGCATTGGCCCCCGCGAAATAAGCTGTTTGAGAGCTAATGGTTTTGTCCTGTTTTTCCATAAGTCCACCAGGGTGCGTAGGTTTGATTGTCGCTCGTTGTCCGCTACTTGTTTAGCAGTATCAAGCTTTGCATTGAAACGCTTCTCAATCCAATCAGACTGAAGGGTAACTGCAGCTTCAAAATCATATTGAACCTTTTTAAATATAGGTTTTCCCTATGAAGTGTTACCATAAATTTTACCTCGCACGTCCTCGTGTGTGTTGTGTTGTGCAAATTAATTGCTGCTCCATCGTTGTTAACGCACCGTTGACTTTATCCTCTAGCTCATTAGCAAAAGACTTAGCCGCAGCAGCAGCAGAAGTTTGCGAATAGCCAGGAATCTCTTGGTTGAGGCCACAAAAGCGCCTGTCGATTTCAGTAGCGAGCAACTCGGTTTGGTCTTTCACGGTTGCCTAATAATGCGTGTGAACATCATCCAGATAGTCACGGATGTGGCAACCGAGACGATTCTCTGTGTCCGCGGTAGTGTTGAAACACATGGTCATGAGTGTATCTGACGATCTCTTGCAATTTTTCCTCGTTTCTTACTTGTGAGTCCGGAAACACCCTTCCGAATTCTGCTATAAAGTTTGGTCTGCTGAGTACGACGTCCTCTTTAAGCACAATCTGATGCGATCCGTAAAAGTGGCTTGGTTAGAAGCCGTGGTCCTGGATAAGGTCATGCTGGCCGCGAATAACATCGTTTGTCCTCTTCGACACACCCTCTCCTTCTCCTTCGCCATATACGACAACGGCCGTCATTTTTAACCAGCTCCATTAACAGTACGTGCCGCTCCGAGCGTGTACAAGCCGATCTCAATAGCCCCCTGTAAAAGCCGCACACTATGCGATCATCCCTTCTTGGCTCAAACTAAGTGGTGGTTTGAAGAAAACGTAATCTTGGTTTAAAGCTCTTAAACGAAACGTAACCACGACAAACCAGTTTTGCTCGTAATTTTGGTTTGGTTCGAAAGGACGCAGGTTTCGTTTGTTCAGGGCTTGAGCAAACCGTTCCCACTGAGGCCTGTAACACGAGGACTAACGTTCATTTGGTAGTGAATACCCTTAAGCATTTTCTCTGTTCAGCCTGCATGGTTGTGACGGGTCACTTTACAGGATGTGACGGGGTCACATCCTGCTTACGCCCAATGCTCACTGCTTGCTGCGTTGCTTTCATTTAAAAATGATAAGCATATCAGTGGGAGAAGGAGGAAGACACGAACGACTGGACAGAAGCGCATTTGGCATAGTGCGTCGCTTTATTTGGGTGGGCCTATATTTTTTGTGACGGGTTTAATACCCCCCCCAGGGCGAAGTATTCGGGGGAGGGGTTTTAATCGGGTGCATCCGTTAGGTGGAATAAATTTTGGTTCTGGGTGCAAGTCTTTGAGGCATACGTTTATGATGCTTGCGGCACTTTTGGGTACATGTATTTCTTACAGAGTCAAACGTTTATGGGATGCTTGCGGCTTTTGGGTAAAAAAACGTCAGAACGTGTATCAATTGGGCAAACGTTTGTCAAAAGCGGTTACAGAACCAGTCAGAGTGATGGTCACCGGCAGGTTTGAACCGAGCACACGTACTGTCACAAGTTTTGGGGATAAATAGGGCGAAACCCATTGTTCAGCACAGAAGACTCGGCCCATTTACGAGACAATCACATTCCAGCAAGTGAGGGACGCCGAGATGGCGCGAGCTGCGGCGCTGTCGAAGAGAACTGCGCCGTTGTACGCAGAGCAAGAGCGCATCTCACGCGTTGCGCATTCATCTAAAGTCGGGTATTTCAAGGCGAAGAGCAGGAAACAGCGGTACATGAAGAGGCAAGCCCCAGTCCGAGATTCTAAGCGGGCTTACCGCTGTGGAGTGATGAAAACGGCGCCGCTAGGCGAGTTTGCCTCCTTCTGGAGGGGGCCATGCTACAGAGGCCCGTGTATTTCGCGTGTAGGGAAGACTGGGGCGGAGAGCCGGCGTGACGTCGAAGCACTTTCTTTTATTACGGACCTGGTCGATTTAACCAAGGAGGCAGGAGAGGGTATTTTACCCCCAGAGCATGGTGAAGTAGGCTCTGTTGGCAAAGATATTGCTAACCTTCCGGAAGTGATTGTTTTGTATGATACTAGCGACAATGAAGATACAGAGAGAGTGAGTGATGAAGCTAGTGATTGCGGCTCTAATACAGCACATCAGCCAAATGAATATCGCGAAGAGTATTGCGCTCCGCCTATTTCGCCTCGTGAGATTATCAGTTTAATGGAGAGTGGTGACGAAAGCAGCCATGACAAGACTGAATGCAACGACGTTGACACCGGATGGCACGATGAAATCGACAATGTGTACTGGACTGTCATACCAGATATAATTTATTTGGACGAGTCCAGCGACGAAAACGACAGCAGGTCTAGCGAACGTTCTCACGGAGCTTCTGAGACGGGCGAAAATGAGAAAGCGAACATTTTGCTCCTACATAAAGATAATAACGTAGTTCCATGGCCTTCTGATGTAGTGGAGATAACCAATACCGAGAACCCAAACAACATTTTGGTACCCGATTTAGGGCCGATGGATTGGTGTGGCTGCGACACAATTTGCCGACCGGATGGTTGCCCAAATGCACTGGGTAGCATATTTTGTGCTCGGAATAACTGCCTCAACGGATCTGACTGTGGCAATCGACTGAGAACTGTGAGTGGCCTGCACCTAGCGCGTGGAAATATTGGATACTCTGTTTTCACGTCTGAGGATATTGAAAGTGGAAGTATTGTTGCTGAGTACGCTGGTGTGTTGACAACACACGACTACCGTAAGGACAAGAAAAGAACCAGCAGCTACACCATCGGTTTGGCCGCGCGGTCGTCGCGCAAGGAGAACTTGTGGATCGAGGCGAAATTCAAGGGAAACATTACGCGGTTCATGAATCATTCCTGTGCGGCAAATTGCCGTTTTTACGAGGTTCAAAACCGCCGCTTCGTCACGGTGGTTGTCGTTACGATGGAGGATATTCGAGCTGGAAGCGAGGTCACTGTTGATTATGGCGATGAATTATGGTTTAAATGCCAGTGTGGTGCGGATGGATGCTGTGGCGACTCTATCGTTAGCAGTGACGATTTTTCTTAAGGGTTACTATAACGCAAAAACCCGGAATTGAGTAACTTTCTAAATGCACAAACAAAACAAAAAACATGAAAGTGACTTCATTATTGCTCGATCGCGAATGAGGGACACTAATAAAAAAACCCGGAGTTGAGTGACCTTCTAAATGTTCAAACAAAACAAAAAAACACGAAATTGACTTCTTTGTTGCTCTATAGCGACTGAGGGACACTCTTTTTGAATGTGATATGTGCCATCCGATTGCGTGCATGAACGCTTGTTGTGGCCTTTCCGATGGCAACTTGAGCAACTCTGTGAAGATCTATTCCCGTCCTCTTCAACACTTCTTATGCGCTTCGTCTTGGGGCGTCCCGGTTTCTTTGTGAAAACTGCAGGTAGCCATTCGGAACTCTGAGTGATGTCTGATTCTATCGGTATAAAGACAGCTTTAGCGTGAAATGCATTGGCATACACCGACACTTTATAACACGGCTGAAAGTGTGTGTACACGTCCAAACGGTTGCCAACTACACATTTTGACACACAAACCTCACTTTCATACACCTGTTGGCGTTTGTTTTGAGACTGTCACATACTGTCAATACCGATGGCAGCCCATACACTTATTGACACACGTTTCACACATACTGACAAAACGTTTCAGGATGATACACGTTCTGACGTTTTCCCTTTTGGGTACTGTATTTTACAGGTAATCCAGAGGATCTTCAACGCTGAGCCGGACGCCACTTAGTCACTGACAGCTATTCGCTGTCGGGGGTGATTAGCGCGGTGCACGGAGGATTGTAAAACGGGGCGTGCTAAACCTGAAGCTTTAGTGTAAAAAATAAAACCCAATACTGTAGTCCACTATATCACCCAATCGTCTCCACCGAAAACTTTGTCTTTAAGACAAAACCAATCGTAATAGCTTGGAAGATGTTGTTGGTCGCAGCAATACTTGAGCTGGGTATGTCGTCTTAATTTTTGGAAAGCAAGTGCGTGTTTCGTGAGAAGAGGGTGGATGGAAGTCCCGTTTGATAATCTGTGTTGTCGACCACCGCGTTTGTTTAGCAGCTATCAAAGTGCACGGCAAGCTAAAGAGATCAAGCGATTTTAGTTGAGTGTGGTCAATGGTCGACTTTTGCTGTTGATTGCCTTGTTGATTTTTTGTTGATGAATGTGTTGGCTTTGTTTCAGCCACGGCTACGTTGATCCATCCGATGGCTTCCCGGAGTTTTGTATTGTCCCCCCCCCAGTGTTAGAATTGACAGCATTGCGTACATGTAACACCCTCAATGGCGTTGATTGCTTAGCACAAGATCGGTTTGATGCATCGGGATCTGCGATGGCGTAACGTGTTGAAGTACCAAGACGAATGGTTCCTTATTGACTTTGACGAAGGCGCTTCGACTCCACCAGCACAAGAAGCACCGCACGTAAATCTCTCATGCCCCGAGGGTAACTCTTACGAACTGCACCAGTACCGAATTGTCCATTCCTACTCAATGTAATGGAGACACAGTGTTTGGAGATCGATGAAAAAAAACCAGCCATCCTCAGCAACTTTTCTTGAGTTGTTAAACAAAAAAGTGGTGACTTCAGCCGCAATTCCGCTAAAACTGACTACTAAAAGTAAAAAAAATCTTCACTGGATAAACAATCCTTTTGAACTTGGAGTGCTTCGAACTTACTGCATTGCCAATCCACTTGATATCACGTGTAGAGAGAGCTCGGGTTTGAACGATGGTGCTCGTGTGGTACGTCGCGGACAAGGTGCAGCGCATGTGGTAAGACTTCAGCGATCGCAGAAAAGTTTTCTACGACTGCTTTCGGTTTCCCCGGTAGAGTTACGATGAGCGTGTTCTTTCGAATTCCCGCCACAGGCCGCGACAGCACAGCCTTGGCCGTGATCTTGAGTGAGCTTTCGAGCATCGCGATGGGGAACCCGGGGATCTCCTTGTCCAACACAGCCTTGATTGCCTCCGGGGTGACGTCGCGGGGACTAAATCCTGTACCGCCTGACGTGAGAATTAGATCCACGGCGTCCGAATCTGCCCAATCCTTCACCACCGCTTGAATCTGGTCCTCCTCATCAGGCACAACCTTGATGGCCACCACATCCATTTGCACCTTGTCAACTCGTTGAAGCACATCAACCATCGCTGGCCCACTCATGTCCGTTGAGGTGCCGGCAGATACACGGTCGCTAATCTGCACACACACACACAAAAACAAACTGACGCTTTAGCTTATCAGTGGTACTAACAAATAGTGAGTGCACGAGTCCGTACCGTTAGCAGTCCAGCGCGAAAAATCTTCTTGACGGCATTAAGCTTGGCCATGGTGCCAGGTGCGTGGGTTGAAGATGCAGTACTGTGGCTAAGAACTGGCGTTGCAGTGACGCCACCCGTGGTATTTCCAAATGTGCAGTCCAGAATGAGGGCCACAACAGCGTCGCCATCCCGCACTTCAGTCCCCGTTGGTAAGCGAAGCAGAGCGTTCGCGTTTCGACAGCTAAACGAATTGAGCCAAGTGCAATTAGTTAAGTGCAGTAGTGACATCGATCAACGAGTGGCAAGGCTAGTCTGGCTGTACCTGAGCAAGCGGGAGCTGATTTGCCGACCAGTACTGGTGGCTAGGAATTTGTGCTGCTTGGCGTCCCATACCACGTTAGCGCGATGGAATTCAGGCCGTTCTACATCCAACTTGATTGGGTGCGTGAGTGAAGCGTAGACCTTTGTCTGATGGCATCTTGGACCTGGAAGTCCACGAAGTCGTTTCAACGCCGGGTGAACCAGCAGATGGCACGTCGTAAAAGAACTCACGGGATTTCCCGGAAGAGCAAATACCAGTTTCTTCTTGCCGTGAATGTCCAGTGTAGCAAATGTAGTTGGCTTCCCGGGCTTCATGAGCAGTCTCCCGAAATGAACGGTACCCATTTCTTCCAGCAGAGGCTTGATGAGATCATGTTCCCCCATACTAACGCCACCACTTGTGATCAGCACGTCAACCTCCTCGAGTGCCTTCAGTATCGTATCCTTCAACGCTTGTTTCTTATCACTACACACGCCCAGATTAAGAGTCTTCGCCCCCCATCCACTAAGCAACGCTAACAGCATTGGACGGTTGCTGTCTCGAATCTTCCCGGGCGTAGTCGTCCCCTCGAAAGCCTCAACGAGTTCACTACCTGTCGAGAGAACACCAGCCACGGGTTTGCGATGCGCCACCACCTCTGTGATACCCGCCTGTATTAACCATCCACCGTTAATACTATCGTTTAATAAGCTGATGAGCTTTCTGAGCTTACCGTCGCCAAGAGCCCAATCTCAGCAGCCGACACCACTTCGTGTGCGTCCACCAGCACTTCCCCTGGACTGATGTCGGATCCGATGGGACGGATATTCTGCCCTGCGTTCACCGCCTTCAGGATGTTGACTGCTACTTCTCGCTCATGTCTCACACTGCCCTCGACACTGCTCGTGTCCTCGATCTTCACTACCGCGTCGGCCCCGTCCGGAACGGGAGATCCCGTTGTGATGTACGACACCTGACCGGGTTTCAATGCTTTTGACGGCATGTCCCCCGCTGCAATGCGCTCCACTACAGGGAACTGCATACGATAAAAATAAGGTTAGCTCTGCTAGTTGCCGAGCAACAAACGACCCCCCCCCTCCCCCCCAACGTACTGTGCCCACTCCGTCCACCGCGACGACCGCGTAACCGTCCATGATGCTCGCCCGGAACGGCGGCAGCGGCTCCTACAGCATCAGTAATCTGTTAGTGTCGGAATTGCAATATACTGTGCTGATAGCTGCCGCCAACTTACGACGCTGAGCACCGGCTCTGCCAGCACGAATCCGTCCGCCTCGTGCGCTTGGACTGTCGCCGCTTCGAGCGGCTGAGTTTGCTGTAGCACGACATCTACAGCGGCGTCTACGCGGATCATGTCGTACGCGCTCTCGCGCCGCGTGGGTGACACGCCCTCGTCTCCGCACTCACAGTCACACATTAAATGAAAAGTGAGCCGCTTGAAGTGCACTCTTATTTAATAGCCAATCTGGTCAATTCAACTACAAATCTGTCCACAATGTAATCTTCCGTTTTTTCTTTTAGCCAGTAAATTTTCGAAAATTACTGTTAATAACCGATGCTTCGAACACTCACACTGCGGTTTTGAGGACGATGACGTTCGGGCTGCGAATTCTGCTAGTGGTGGCTCTGAGTCTGGCGGTGCTGGGTCCGCTTACGGCATCACATGATGCCCTCGCTGATTCGGTGTTCGATGTTGCCGCAAAAGCAGAGGCAGCGGCTGCCGCTAAAGAGAGAAACCTACAGCGCAGCATCGCGGACGACCAGGTTCGCATTTTGTACTGCACGGCGTGCGGCTACCAGCAGAACTTCAACCAGATCAAGACGTACCTGGAGGACACTTTCCCGCATTTGGTGGACAGAGTGTATGGCGCCAACTACGAGGTGGACCCATACAAGATGGTTGGTGGCATTGTTGCTGTTAGGAGGACACGACGCCGCCGAGTACTGACGTCTTGATGCACTCTACTGTAGATGCTGGCTCAGTTCTTGGGCTACGCGCAAGCGACAGCGATGATTCTGCTGCTGTTTGGGGAATACGTGAGTGTGCTTGGAAGCTGTGGAGGTTGTGTTATCTTGGGGATTCTAACATGGAGTGCCAGATATTGCCTGCTCTAGGTGTGGAAATGACGATGCTGCGTTGGGCGAGGGACAACCGCATCGCTGCCTTTTTCGTCGTGGTGCTCATGGGTTCTGCCGCTAGTAGTTTGACGTCATCAGGGGCGTTCGAGATCTACTTTAACGGTACGTGACGGAGGGTTAGATTATGTATGTGCTGGCGTTCTGGCCGTCTGCTGACTGCGTGGCTGTAGACGACTTGATCTTCTCCAAATTGAAGACCGGGCGGTGGCCGACGCTCCTGGTAAGGGTTATATGGGCTAGTTCGTATTTGGTGCTGCAGGCTATTGACGTGGGCTGTATGGTGTGGTTGTAGGAGGTGTCCAACTCCATCGGCGAGTACGGACAGCTGGACAGCGTGGCAGCGTGAGCGTATCTCTTTCCAGCCAACCGCCTCAACTTGTGAAGCTAACGGCTAAGAGGACAAGAAACTTTAGATGTAAAGACTCCAATGCCATACAAGAACAATGAATCTGGTGTAGTTGAATTATTATTTTTCCTACACGTGCCGTTCTGGATCGGAGCTGTCGGCTACGCCAGGCGTCGCCGGCCGCATCTTGACAGGTACCGCTACGATCTCTGGAGGGGAGTCGGCTCGACCACACGAGCTGGAGCTCTGCCGTCTGTACGCTGTGTCTTCTTTTGTGCACCACGAGAAGCCTCGGTCTCCACAGCAACACCTCGAGCAGGCGCTGCACACCGGGTGGCACGTCGCTTCGAAGCATGTGATACAGCATCCAGCGCAGACCGCGCTCCAACAGGCACTGCAACAGTCGTCCATCGTTCAATCCTCGTCTACGTGACGCGATAACTTGAATTGTGAGACGATACCGGTATGCACAAAGTTAGTGACTGTTGCGGTCGAATGGCGTTCCTACAACACAAGTACAACGTCACGACAGCTCTTGCAATGGGCTTATAGCACCACAATGAGTGCCACAAGAAGCAAGTCGATCGTAATCTATTCGTGATATATTTCAGAAACCTCGAAACTTACGATTCCACTTTGACAAAATTTGTGATAGGAGAAGGCACATTCTGCGAAGAGACTTGAGAGATAAATGAATCAAGACAACACAGATGCAGGCGCTCGTACCAGCACCGCTAGTGAAGATCTAACGCCCCTAGCGCCTCCATCCCCTCCTGCCACACGCCATAGCTACTCTCGAGCTCACAATTCAAGGTTGTGCAAAGAGCTATTACGCTCTAAACTCCGGCAAATTCAACGCATGGAAGAGAAGTTGCAGATGCTGACTCAACACTCGGAGAAGCTAATACAAGCTCGGGATGAGCTCGCCTCAATGCTCGCCGAAGAGAAAGGTGATGCAACACGCCTAGCAGTTGCAGTTGGGGCCGTCGCTTTGAACAGAGGCTACGTGATGTCATACAGTTTGATGCTGGAGGAGTGCTGCAATATAATGCTTGATAGGCACTAGTGAGTCAGTGTTAAAAGTGAAGCACGTTAATCTATTCGTTGTGATGCAAAACCAAACAGCTTTATTCTATTCCATTAGTGTTGCAAGCAGAGCTTTATCCGTAGCATTCACTATTCGATCGAGCTTGTTGGATCGAGTTGTCACTTCAGGCTGCGAAAGAATCATCCAAAGTATTCTGAGTCTCATGGCAGCAACATCATCGCGTGTGACAGCAGTTCTGGAAAAGCTGAAGCCATCTCTCAGCATCGCATACGCCTGAGCAATGCACAACACACCACACGACGTTCCGTCTGGTTGTTTTGGAGCGTCAAGCCATACTGCGCTTGATTCTAGCGGTGACTCGGTGAGCCGCATAGAGGAATTATGCCAGTTTCGCAGAAACGGTGCCACAGTCACTTCGTAAGTATCTTCCATCGCCGCTCGATACGAGCCGTTGCACAAAGGCTCATAGCAGTAGGGGGTGAAGGTGGGTGGATCTTGACGGTAGTTCATGCGCACCATGATTATTCCCCAGTGGTTGCTGTTCAAGTGAACGGGCATAACAGCGTAATGGTACATCGAAATGCGCCCTACTGGAGTTATTGGGCAACCCATCGTCGGAGCGTAGGGGTCAATAGCAAAACATTCACCAACTGAGTTGCAGATACAGCGGAGGCTGAAGTCGATAATAATATCACTCAGCATCCGGTCTCTTGCCAACATGCCGACCAAATGGTCCACCTTGACAGTGGCATCGCCACCCGACAACCGAAACATGGACCCAAGGCATGCTTTTGCCAAGAATTCTCGCGACATCTTCTGCAAATTCTTTGTGTTTTTCACCAGACTCACTAGGTAGCATCCCGTCCGTGTCCGTCTCTTCATCAAACAGTTCTGGGGTTGACAGGGTTTTATACCACTTTGTCGAGAGAACCCAATCCATATCTGCCAGCCAAGCTTCGCACTTCCGACGGATCTCGTAGAACGCCTTAATGCGGTAGACAGCGCCACTAGTTCACATTTTAATTTGCATCATGTATCCAATACAAGCAACATTATAAGCAACATAGTAAGCAACACAATGAGCAACACAGCAGTACAGACAACAAACCTGGTGATCTTTGGAGTGCCTCCAGGAAAGAACGCGATGATCTCGTTCGTGGTACCTTCGGGGTGATCGGCTTCCGAATCGTTACCGAAATAGCTGGATTTCTTTCGTTTCATCTTCTCCGCTTCGACCACTGCGTCCAGCTTATTCACTAGGTGCTTAGGAATGACGAAGTTGTAGTCGTAGTCATCGGCGCATACATACGAACGCTGACAGCGCGCAGAACGCGCTCCCATGAAGTCGTCGTCCATGATGACTGGATAGTTTGCCATCAGCTCGCTAACGTGATATCTGTCCTTAGTATTTGGAGCCCGCTCCAGTAGTCGAGATAGACATAACACGCGCTTGTCGGGAAGTTCAATGGCTGCCAGTTTCTGTGGCTTCGAGGATGCCGCCAAGCGAACTTGCTTTTTTTTTCTCTCGTTGTGTCGAGGCTTAGATTGGGGAAACCTTAGCACGTCTATCTGGTCTGGCTCCCGCGCCTTTTGCTTTGAGAGCTTGGCGTCTCTTGTATGGACCCCTCGCTTTGTTCGGAGCTCCTCAGTTTTAGATGGCTCACATTTGGCTGGAGGCGACTCCATTGTTTGCCGCCAAGCCTGTGTCAGTGTCTGCGCCGTCGTTGTAAGACCCGAATTAGGTCTTTCATTGTGATTCAGCATACATTCTGCTGTAACTCTAGACGATGGTGTGTGTACAGCCGCAGGTGCAAAAGAAAACTCTCCGTTCTTTTCTTCTTCAAGCTGTCGAATCAACTTCATTGACTCCATTAGATCGGCGGGTGTAATTTCAGATGCACTTTCAGATGCACTTTCACTCTCTGAATCGTCGCTGTCGTCGCCCGACTCTGAATCGGAATCCGCCATTTTCTGCGATGACGTGGTGTCCCTTTCTCGCATACCCCTGCGTACTATATCCCGCCATGACTGTAGTGCCATGCAGAATTTTGGGCTAGATAGTTGAGATAGATAATCCAGCACAGGGTCAAATACAGCTTTGGCGTAGCAGTATTTTTCTTCAGAAGACAGAACGACAACATTCGCACGCTCACGACGCCGCATTTTTACGTAAATCACGCATTTTGACAGGCGAGAAGTGTCGAGGTTTTTTCTCCAGCGGGACTGGTTCTCCTGCTCCCAAACTTGAGACTCTTGCTCAACTTGTGCTGCTTCAAGAGACTCCTTTTTTGCTTCAGCGCCGTGTGTTGCTTTGTGTGTTGCTGAGCATTGAGTAAAGTCGCTGTGCGAGGATGAATCGGGTGTATCTTTCAGCTTGTTGTGGTGTAGCGGGATCAGCAAAATCTGCGAGATTGCCAGATCCAACTTACCAACTGCGCCCAGACACCGACTAACGGAGGGGGCCCCCCGATTATCCGTGTTCTGCTGAACTTTCCTCACCTTGTGTGCCCGTCGGTAGGGCGGGATCTTGCTCTCTCGGTAACTTCCGAAGAGTTCAAGTGGTGAAGCTTGAGTGTCTTGGCGAGACGTGGGGATGGGGTGGAGCAGCAGTGGAAAATCTTCACTCTGCGTCCGTGGATTGTTCCGAATCCTAAGCGAATATTCGAGCTTATGGATCCGGGGCCTAGATCGTGGATCTGGCCGTAGGGTTGCCTTACAGGTGTGTTCCCTTGCCTTTGTAGTTCCTTTGCGTCGTACTTGCCGCCTCCTGTGACGGGATCTTGAAAGTTGAGAGCCTCTAGGGTGTAACCGACCAAGTAGTAAATTCGGTTAACCTGTCGGATCTGCACAAGTAAAGGAAAAGCTCACTAGGTTGTAGGATCTGGCCAATGTATTATCCAGTTATCACTACCAACACTAATTTGGCAATTCCCAACCTGCTCCGAGCTCGTACGGCCAATGTAGCTCCGGTTCTTGAGGGCAGGAAGGCACTTGCGTGATACTGTGCAAATTGAGTTCTGTATTGATATTTAAGCCTATACCTGCCTGGATTTCTACCTTCTATGTCTTTCATCTGCTAAATCCTTTACCAGGCTCGGCTGCATGTCCCTTCTTCCCTTGACCCATCATCCCAGCTGTGTTATCTTCAGATCCACCGGATCCATGACGTAATCATTATGGTCACCCTAATTATGAGTACACTCATCCGGATCCCAGGGTCGCTTGGGATCCACCTCACTGTAATTGTACCACTCGCCGTGGATCCGAAGCTCTCCAGATCATTCCAACATCATCCTTGCATACTTTCTTGGATCTGCTTCTGCCGCGACGAAAGTTCCGAGATCCATGTGGCATCCATCATCCCTATTACCCCTGGGA